ATCTATCTATCCATCTATCTATCTATCATCTATCTATCTATCCATAATCTATCTATCTATATATCTATCTATCCATCATCTATCTATCTATATATCTATCTATCCATCATCTATCTATCTATTTTAGGTAATTTCATACTTATAGCTTTCATTTGAACCTTTCCGTTAAAAAAACAGATGATTGTTTAATTTTCATATAACAATGAAATATTGCAAATCAGCTGAAGATACAGGCTAATAATTTATTTACACTGAGTAAGAGTAAATACTTGAGTAATTGAGTTGAACTAGACTACTGATGCAGGCTTCAAGAAATTGAAAATCTGAGAAAGAAGTCAAACCTGTCTCAATTGCAGCAATGAAAGGGTCATATCACTTGTGTCATGTGGATTGCCATTCATAATTATGTGTCAGAAATTAGCCAAGTTTGTAGGTCTGGCATGTGAATTTAGAAAGCAATGTGGGGCAAGTAACCTTCAGTTTCAGCACAAGCTGTCATCCATGACACCGTCGAAGGTCAAAAAACAGGTACAAATGCTGAACCCTGAAAGATTGGGGAAATAAGCATGTTTTCATCTCTTTTTTATATATAGCTAACAATCTGACAAAAGCTCCCTTTTACTTATTTGTTACATCTGGAGAAAATGGGCCATACTGCTCGGTTTTCCAGAGCCACGCTGCCCTAAGATGCAAACATTGCCGCCATATTTCAGGATGATAATTACCATTAAAACAGCTGTAGTGGTTTAATAGCAGGATGACATCAAAGGCTTTTCATGGTCCATCTGCTGATGAAAACATCATTACATGTCCACACACAGCTGGACGTTCTTCTCATGAGCAAAGCCACAAACACCACACAGTGTAATGTCCTTCATATATGAAGCTGTAATAAAGGCTTCAACATTATACCTCATATGCATTGGCCAGTAATCACATTACTATTTTTTAGCTAATTTCTCATTTAAGCAACATACGTCTTTGTCTTTTAAAGTAACTTTTTTTTTTGATAGTTGTTCCTGGATGTTTCACATGCATACGTCCAATCAGGAAAATTAGTTGTTTCATTTCACTGCTACCCAGGATAGCGATTAATTATTATGTATAACTTCATACCTGGATAAACTTTACTCAGGCTGGGAGATGTGTGTACATGCGTAAACATTTCTTCTTCATTTGCTTCTTAAAGAGGGTGACAAATCAGAAAAACCAAGCAATACATGAAAAGAAGCCTATTGTGCATCTCTATAAACTATGCATTAAGCTTCACATTTGTCATCTATAAACTTACATGCTGTCACAATTACTAAACTACTATGCATTTTGAAACTTGTGCTGTCTACAAATACTTACAGGTCAGGCTACTACATGAAAACCAGGTTGCATTTCAAAATTACTTTATCATTGTATTATTGTGAGGAAATAACTGAACTGGTGCTCACCTTCTCATTCGCACCAAACTTTTGAGGCATACACTTAAAAAGCATGAAGAGCTGAACTAAACTTCCCATGCTTGATTTGCTCCCTTGGTTATCCGTAACTTCCTCACTGTCTCATGATGAAACGCTTACAGTAGAGTGAAAGAAAACACACTTGGTTTAGTATATGCTTTATTTGGAAAGTGTGGCAAAACACGTCCTTTAATGCAGTCTATTACACAACTTCCAGCTGGGAAGCATTTCTAAACAACTACACTGTCCTTGTGGATTCAGGACTTGGAGGCGTTTTATTTGCCGATGGCACTATAACTAAAGAATGATTTAATGCTGAAAATCCTCACCAGCTGAACGCCACGCCTGGACTTTTGCATATTTTAGGCAACACTGAGCAGACAGGGACTTGAGAGTTCACATGGAAGATGATATTCTGGATTTATAAAAAATCATTACAAAATGATTTATACTCCTGTTTATAAAAACATGAAATAATGAGAAAGGTCCTAAATTATATCTGAAACCTTTAATTCGCTAGTAAACCATATATATATACTGTATAGAACCGGCTTCTTCATTTCCAGATTGGTCTGTTTGGACAACACTGATGTTCTGGAGAGCCTATGTGTGTACCGAGGGCACTCGCCCACTCCCAAAACATAAATTAACAACGAGAGAGTCTCGGAACTTCTCATTTGCATCGCTATAAATACAAAAGTATCTAGAGTTGTTTTTAAAGTTGAACGTTTTAAGAGAAAAAAACAATAGTTCACTCACAATAACGGCAAGCTACCCTGCGGTGCCAATATAATCCCGAAAACATAGAAGAGTCCCATGAGCAGATTGAGCTTGGCGGTCTTTTGAGGGATCTTGGCGTAGCACTGGCGGCGAAACTGCCTCTCCAGAGGGAAGGCCATGGGCAGCGTGAGCAGCGGCAGAGCCATGCTGATGGTGTAGCGCGTGGCTAGGATGCAGAAGAGCAGGTAGGGCACGAACAGCAGCAGGTTGTAGATGACGTAGGAGAGCGTGGGCCCCAGCAGGATGGCCAGGGTGACGATGCCCGCCTGCTTGTCCGAGTCCATGTCTCGCGTGTTGTTGCTGTGCAGGATGGCCTCAGTGTTGAGCGCCAGCGGCACGGCGTACACCAGCGGCAGCACCGACAGATAACCCACCTGCACTGCGTGAGAGAACATCACAGCCAGGGGACCGAAGGTGATGAGGATGACCACGTCCCCCAGAGCCACGTACTTCAGTCCGATGCCTGCGGTTAAAGAGCAAGAACAAGTGAGGAAACACCGTATGGACGGATCACGTTTGTGAAAAATTACTGCAAGAAATCAAGGTCACACTTCAGTTTGGGGACCAAATCTTACTATCAGCTACATCCTTTGCCTCAGTAAACTCCTAATTTGCTGCTTGGTAATAGCTAGTAAGGTAGGTATGTAAAATATGCTCATGCAGAATTAGGTTTTAATAGGTGCTTCACGAGTACTAATGAACAGCCAATACACTAGTAATATGCATGCTTATAAGCAACTAGGTAATAGTGAGAATTGGACCTTAAACTAAAGTGTTACCGAAATCAACAATATCCAAATGCAGCAGAACTGGACATTATAGATTAAAAACAAATATTTCACTTTTTGACAATGTACAGTATATTGATAGCTCTGTATTCGCTCGATAACTGGCTTTAAAAGGTTCTCTAGAGTTTGTTTTTCAGTTCGATTTTGACCAAAAAGCAATGCTTATTTGATGCACATAGCTGACCGCTTCACTGCATTAAAACATTCAGCTCTACGTGAAATTTTAAAATAAAATGCAATCTTCATTCGATATAGTAAAACTGCTTGTTATGCGTCTTTTATTTCTGGATGATAGCATTCAATGCGTTTATGCAAATGAATTTAATAATACACTATAGAGCTGTTATTACCAATCAAATGAAACCATTACAAAAAAAACTCCATCTTGGCACTGAGATGCATTTATGCAGACTGGCTGATGCAGCTCAGAGGTGTCATGAATGCATTTAGACTGAAACAAAATACATAAGATTAAAAAAATTACACTGCTGAAAACTGAAATACGAAATGATTCAATTAAATTATTTTTGAAATATGAAACTAAAACCGCCGATAGGTGTCAGCAAATCCCTCTCTTCAGGAGCGAGTCACTGAATCCTTCATGCAAATGATTTGTTCAAAACATCTGATTCATTCAGAAATGAAGCAAGTCACTGGGCCGGTCCCCAACACACAAACCAGCGTTCAGTATTTGGCCCAAGTCTTCAAGTGTGTGTAGAGCTTCTGATGACCCTCTGACCCCCATTTATACTTTAAAATGAACTTCTATATGTCTGCTCAGTTGTCCCTACAGTACGGTACAGTGTGTAACAGACGACACTATTTAATTGTGGTGCTTCTAATTAAATGACAAGCAGTTGCCATCGCTTTACAAAAGACACACAGCCTACTAATCTCTGCACCAATACAATGTGTGGCACCTTACACTGTACTAGCAAATTAGATGTAATTTCTAATTAATTTAACTAACACTCTAAAGTTGTCCCTGCCATTGCACGATTTCCTGAACATGATGAATGATGGGATACCACAGCGCTATCAAGAGAGAGTGTGGCTTTAGTGCGTGTTGAGAGCACTAAGCTTTGGCATTCATCAGACCTGCGAGTGGGTCACTGCATCTCTCACTCACCCGAGTCTCTCTAAAACACAGATTCATTCAGTGAAGAAACACTGCGTTGCTCAGAAATGACTTTGTGTGGAACCGTGTCTTTTGGCATGTACTTTTGTAAAGTGAAAGTGCAAAGTAAAACATCAATTATGATATATGATATGAAATTCTCGCCATTGATTTATGACTTTTGTGACTAAATTAGGCTAAAGCAATAAGCCCCAAGAAGCCGTGGTTTACAGTGAATTTATAACAGCTAAGGGGCGCTGTTAGCTTATTGCTTTTATAAAACGGTTATTCCATACACAAAGTTAGGTTTCAGAGCAAATAAAGTGTAATGATATTAATAAAGACAGTATTCTTCCACCAAACAATGTAGTTCCTCAGAACCAGTTGTGGTTCCAACAAAGTGTAATAATCAGCATGTGTCTTAATTTCTTCTTTACGTCAACGAATGCATGAAAACCAATCAGCGTATTCACCTCCAGTGTATAAAAAAGAGCTGGATAGTCCTCCGAAATAAATGAGAGCTAGATGCTCTAGTTTGAGGGTGGAGAGGAAGTAGAGCAGAGTGGCACAGAGACATCCAGCGGAGTACAGCGCCGCGCCGAACATCACCACGTCCTGCGGCTTCAGGATCTGATCCACCAAAGTCCTGTCGTCGCTCTTCTTATGATCAATTCCCTTCGAGAAGTCATAGTAGGTGTTCACCAGGTTCCCCGCCCCGTGGACCACCAAAACAGCCACGGCACACACCAGGAGGATGAGCAGGTCCACCGAGCCCTCCAGCTTATAGGCCAGAGCGCTGCCTAGAGCCACGGGGGTGAGGGAGGTGCTGAAGCTCCACGGCCTCAGGGCCAACACGTACGCCGCGCATTTGCCCTGAACATCCAGCGCCATGGGGGCCACGCGGGACAGACGGCTGCTGTGCTTCCGCTCCACTCCCGACGGCTTCGTCCCATTCAGTCCGTTAGATCCTGAAGGCATGAAGGTCTCTCCGTCGGTCTGCTTCAGGCTGGAGGCCATCGTCAGCTCAATCCACGAGTGCTTCAGAGAGGTCAGAGGACGCAGCTGTCGACACACACACACACAAATCATGAGAACTACAAACAACGACGCCAGCAGCAGATGAGCTAAAGTCATTTCCAGGCTTCTCAGACGCTGAAGTCGGCACAGTTGCGTAAACCTCTACAGAGTGCATTCGTGCCGCCCACTTTATCTGCAAGTAGCTATTTTTCCCATTCATTTTTCCCATAGGGATTTTTTTTAAAGTCCTTGTAAAACAGTTATAAGCCGAACCAACCAGCTAAGAGGAGAATCACACCATTACAGACTTTGATTTGAAGCAGAACAGAATTTAAAAACTGAAAAAGGCAAAAGGTACAAGACTGTGAACTTGGCGGCTTCAATTAGAGCAACAAACTACAATCCCATGAAGCATTGCAAATGATATAATCGAATTAAAACATTATATTAAATAATATATTATTTAAAGTCGTTGACTATCTTTTATAGAAACAATATATTTTACATTTATTGCAAAACATGCACATTATTTGCGGCGCTTCGTGGAAGTGGGTGGAGCTAAAGAAGCTGTGACTCTCTAATTGGTGGGATTTTTCTGCACAGCATCATGGGTAATGTAGTTTTCCACCATGAATTCAGGGATTAAAGGGATAGTTCACCCAAAAATGAAAATTAGCCCATGATTTACTCACGCTCAAGGCATCCTAGGAGTGTATGACTTTCTTCTTTCAGACGAATCCAATCAAGTTATGTTAAAAAATGTCATGGATCATCATAAAAAGTGTCCCACACTTATTCAGGAGGCCTTTATTCTCCCCCCGGAGCCGTGTGAGGCACTTTTTATGATGGATGATTGCGCTTTATTGGACTTCTTTTGGACTATTGAAAAATAACACCCATTCACTGCCATAATAAAGCTTGGAAGAGCCATGACATTATTTAACATAACTCTGATTGGATTCGTCTGAAAGAAGAAAGTCATACACTCCTAGGATGCCTTGAGCGTGAGTAAATCATGGGCTAATTTTCATTTTTGGGTGAACTATCCCTTTAAATTATTTTAAAAATAAGTTGAAATAATGCGAACAAATGGCTTCAACACAAGCACATGCCATCGATTAACTTCCAGAACCGACTGTTTGACACAACACGAAGTATAGCGTTATAAACGCTTTTAAAATATCTGTGAAAAGGGTCCATGTGAGGAACATTTTTCATCACGCCCTTCAAACCACAAGGACGCGGAGAAAACACTGTTTTCAGGCCCTGCTCTGGCACACCGTGGTCAACACTAAAGACAGAGCTGCGTCTTTCTGGAGCTTCACCGGAGCATGCTAACACCAGCACAGCGTTGCTCTGCTCAGCAGCTGCTCTCTGACACACGCACTCATCCGCGGGACAGCACCCTAAAGCGCCTTTCAGCACTGGTGAGCATGAGCGTGGTGCGGCTGCAGGCTAACGCTAGTGCGAGGGATTATCAGGACCATACCTGCTCCACACACTCTTCAGCGGAGTCACTCCCCGAGCCGCTCGCGCATCGCGCCGTGGCCTTCACAGAAATCCCCGCAGGCTCCGAGCAGCAGCGCGCAGGCCAGTGAGTATTTAATCGACTCCAGCAGCATTACTGACAGGCGTCGCCATTTCCGTGCAGCGTGTTCGGGCCGACCGGAAACACGGCGCAGCGTCTTAGTTCCGCCCCGCTCCGAACACACCGAAGCTCCTCCGAGGAGTCTGGAGCAGGCTGGGGGAAAGATCGATTGTTTTCGGGAGAAAAGACCAGTAAACCTACGGTTATAATCAGGTATTGGGACAAGTTTCAGAAAATCTAGTTTCCGCATGTAAGGAGTCTACGGTCTAAAATGAAATTTGGATTACATGCTCAAAATATAGCAGACGAATGTAAAAAGGGGAATTAAAGGGACAGTTCACCCATCATTATACTCACTTTCATGAGTTTCTATTTTTCTGCTGAACATAAAAGAAGATATTTTGAAGAACGTGGTAACAGTCAGTGGCTACTTTCACCTGAAGGGGCGTTAATGATGACCTTTGTTGGATGAACTATCCCTTTAATATACTCCCATCCTTGGCTGGGACTGATTTGGGGGGCAATCGGACCTCTTTAAGAGAATATATAGTGCTATAATAAGATCTACAGTAGAATGCATTGTGTATAGTTCAGCAACACACACTCACTCACACACACTCACTCACACACTCACATACACACACACACACACTCACTCACATACACT